CCAGAGCACAGACTGTGTTTTGACTCCGGTCCTCTGAAGATGCCAGCCAGAAACTGGTAAAACGTTAGGAAGAAAAACCTCAAGAAGCCACTGGCAATGGTGCGGCTAAAAAATATTGTAAATAAATAAATAAATAAGAACATGGCCAGACAGCCTGAAAAACCCACAACAATCATGTTTTCATGTTAATTACCAGAACTTGCCGCAGAGGGCACAAGACACTATGGTATGTATTGTTTACTAACAAGTATTAATGGCACAGTCGCTGGCTCCCTCTAGTGGCTGATTCTGGTAGTAAATGTGAAAATATTTTTCTGATTTTTTTTCTTTTAATATTTCTAATATTTTCAGACTGTGAATAAGTGAGCCAGTGGATACTGATACTGTGGATAAGGGAGTCTTACTACACTTAGTGTACTGTGAATAAGTGAGCCAGTGGATACTGATACTGTGGAGAAGGGAGTCTTACTACACTTAGTATTTTTAGTTTCTGATATTGTCTTTTAATGATATAATCTGCCTTCGATTCTTTTTAAAGGGACAGATGGGTGGGGTAAAAATATTTGAAATACAATGAGGACTCCTTTGTTTTCACAATTTTCTGTTACCTACTGCTGTTGTCATTCAGTGAGCCAGTGGATACTGATACTGTGGAGAAGGGAGTCTTACTACACTTAGTATTTTTAGTTTCTGATATTGTCTTTTAATGATATAATCTGCCTTCGATTCTTTTTAAAGGGACAGATGGGTGGGGTAAAAATATTTGAAATACAATGAGGACTCCTTTGTTTTCACAATTTTCTGTTACCTACTGCTGTTGTCATTCTATCCATATGGAAAGATTAGTCTTCTCCTATGGTCATTAAGATTGTTGAGCTTAAGGACGAAGTTCTAGGGAACAGAGATGTTTCCACATCTCTAGCACAGAGACAAATCTCAAGGTGAGCAGTGTTGGAGGAGGATAAAAAAATACACTTTTATGGTAGGACACAGTTGTAGAACCTGGGACCCCACCTCCATTATCTCCCACCTGGTCCCAGGGTACAATTTGTGTCCCTTACTTGGCTGCCAACAACTTTTTTTCCTCTGTGTCTGGCTTGTCACATCAGTTGGATGGGTTTTATCCACATTCTGTGCCCATTTACTTGGCTTCTTCTCCAGTCCATTTCCACAATCAGCTGCTCCAGTAGCAGCTCCAGCAACTCCTGTTCCACCCTTCTGACATCAAATGAATAACCCCTTCCCCAATCTATGGTTTTGGCCTTGAATCTGCATTGCAACTTGGAACTTTCTCTTCAGGCAAGCCTTCCCTCAGTGAGTGGCTGCCCGAGTGCTATTCTTAGATGGATTGTTATGCATTGCTCTTTTGAATGGGCTTTTAGTACCATTGGTATTTTCCATTTCTCAGAGTGGCATTTGACCCTTTTTAATATTTTAATATTTGTATACTAATAAAATCGTTTAATGATGTAGGCTGCCTCTCTATGCTCATTGTTCTCAGTTTTAAATGATGCAAAACACCATTTTATAAGCCGCCTTGGGTTCTTTTCAAGGAGAAAGGTGGGGTTAAAATATTTTAAATAAATAAATACAACATTCAAACTATGGCCAAGCTTTGGTCCATATCTGTATACAGTGGTGCCTCGCTTAACGACGATAATCCGTTCCAGGAAAATCGCTGTTCAGTGAAAACATTGCAAATACGAAATTAAAAAACCCATTGAAATGCATTGAAACCTGTTCAATGTGTTCCAATGGGCTGAAAACTCACCATCCAGTGAAGATCCTCCATAGGGGCGGCCATTTTTGGGTGCCTGTATAGCAAAAAATGACTCCTAAAAACAGCGGGGAGCCATATTTTACACCTGGTGGCCATTTTTAAACTCGACAATCAGCTGTTTTTAGTCGTAATGCGAAAATCGGTCCCCAAGGCAGGGAACCGATCATCGTGAAGTGGATTTTTCCCATTTAGACCATCATTTTGCGATCATTAAGCGAGGCAATCGTTAAGCAAGGCACCACTGTAGCTACTTTGCACCAGTGACAGTTTGTGACTGAGGCATGGGATACCACTAGCCCTGAAATCTGTGGGGAGGTGAGCCCTCCCCACAAAATTCTGGTCTGCAAGCTATCTTGGCTTTTCAAGGGCACATCCTCCTCCTGTCAGTTCTTCCCCCAGAGATTTCAAGCATGAAACAAATGCTGAGCTAACCTATTGAAGGCATTTTCTTTTGAGTTTCTTCTACCTCATTGTTTTTGAGTCTCCCCTGTAGGGCACGCATGGAGTCAATTTACTACCAAAGAACACTGTGAGGAAAAGGATCAGAAAAGGCTCTAGAGCAGTAAACACTTCTCATGCCAGCAAATGTTTCTTTGCCCTAACCCTTTTAAGACTTTAATACTCTGGAACTAGAAGAAGGCAACTGTGAGGCAATTCATGAAAAGAGCTATCTTTTTGAGGACTTCAGCCACGACACTTGCACTGATATTTACTTAAATCACAGTAAGGCCGCTGGGGGGGGGCGGGGGGGAGAGAGAATGTACTGTATTCAATCAATGGAACAATTACACTCAGTCTGTTTTTTTACTTGGTATTAAAGTCTATCCAGGTTTATTTGTTTTGATCGATGACCCCAGGCTGCAGAAGGGTGGAACAACAGAAATGGGGGAGAAGTGTAATAAATAAGAAAATTGTCGAAAATCTGCTTCAGGCCATGGAGGGGAATGGGTTTGCCACAACCCAGTATACTAGTCAATGGACACTTTCCACAGGCAGATTGTAGCTATTCATTCTCTGCCATGAGATGCAGGTCTATAAGTTGTTTCCATCTGGCCTCGAAATGGAAAACATCCAGCAGTTAATATACTAAAATCTCTTCATACATTGTCATAGAAGTTATGCACATGTAACCTAAGTCACCATGTTATTCCCTCCCCATTAACAAGGATAACAGGAAGCACATTTCACAGTAATAATAAAAGCCTTTTTTTAAAAAAAATGTATTTATTGAAAAAAAGATGCATTGAAAGTATATATAAAAACCCAGCAGTTCATAGAAAAAAACCTTGCTAAAAATCTTCCGGGTTAAAAAAAGCCAACATGTTCCCCATACTAAAATCTCTTCATACATTGTCATAGAAGTTATGCACATGTAACCTAAGTCACCATGTTATTCCCTCCCCATTAACTAGGATAACAGGAAGCACATTTCACAGTAATAATAAAAGCCTTTTTAAAAAAAATGTATTTATTGAAAAAAAGATGCATTGAAAGTATATATAAAAACCCAGCAGTTCATAGAAAAAACCTTGCTAAAAATCTTCCGGGTTAAAAAAAGCCAACATGTTCCCCTGTGAGAGTAAAAAAAAAACCTTAACATGTTACAGGCACTTTTACATAGACAGAACTCCACCTTCTAAGAGTAGAGCTTGGAAGAGTTTATTTGTAAAGCAACACCTTCCAGAACCTGAATCTTAGTTCTTACTTTTTGGGAGTCGTAATCTAAACAAACAAACAAACAAAAAGTTTTCCCCTCATGCTCTGCTTTAAAGAAGCTGCAACTGCACATCCAAACCAAGAGACCATTCAAGCTTGGTTTTCAAGCTGAACCAAAAGCGTAAATCCGATTCCCCACCAAAAGGCTTGTTTTTGCACTACAAGGTAGAATTCCATTTCCCTGTTATGAAATTATTTGGGCCTGGGCCGTAGAACCAGAACTCATCCACTTTTGTTACCAAGACAACGGAAGTGGGAACTGAGGATCTCTTCTCCTCCTTTTTCTGCAACTGCAGAAATCAGTGCATCGTTACTTAACTAGTCATTCTGCATCAAGGTATATTCTTGGCTGCACACACATGAACAATATAGTCCGTCACTTGCTGCATATTCTGCCAAGCATAGCAAATCGGGGTCCCAACGTGTCCAAGAAATCTGGAGGTAGACTGTCGTCGTCATCTACAATATGTAGGGACCAAATAGATCCCGATTTCTCCAAGGGACCTTCCTCTGCAAACACACGAGGTGAGTAAGAAACCAGTGTGTCCTCTAGGTAGCTGATGTGTTCGCATTTCTGAGGAGAGAAGAACAACTTTGAGAAAAGTGGGGAAAGATCACTGTCCTTTACATATGGTTATTCTGTATTTATATTTGGTTTTAGATTCTGTTCAGTCATCTGATCATGGCGTGAAGGTAATGCTCCAGGTCTTGAAGGCCATGTCAGAGGAGGATTCTGCCAGGATGGTGAGGTTTTGAGCGCAGCCATGAAGACTGACTGGATTACTCTGATTTGGGGATGAGCACAGCTAAATACAAAAGACATTTGTCACCAGCAGGACAGCTCTGAAGCGACAAAAACTGACTGCAGCAACTCTACATAGAATAGCTGTGACCTGCGGTGTGGAAGGAGTGCTTCTCACCTGACATAATCATGGTTCGAGGTATTGTAGACCCTGTACACTGATTTCTTATGATCTGTTGCTCACCTGATTTAAGAGCCCACCCACTGTTTCCACAATCTGGTCGCGTGGCATCACCCAGTGCATCTTGTTGCTTTGAGGACGCAAGGTCGCCTGCTGAAGGAGACGAAAGGCGCATCACAACCAAAACAGCTTAAAATCTGTCCAGATCTCATGCCCACCTTGGCTCCAAATGAGGGAGAACCAGACCATATACTAAACATTAGAGATACAGCAGCCCATGACTGGAAGAGGGAACTTCTTTATATCAGCATCTCTGAATGTTAACAGCATGGGCTTCTTTTTCTCTCTAGGATCAAGCAGTTTAGCTTGTTTTGTTGGGCGACTGGTCTTTGGGACTTCAAAGGCAGAGTGGTGGAATGGATGGAGTGTTAGACTCAGTAGACTTGAGCTTAAATCCACATTTGGCCATGGAAATTCATGGTGGGGGAGAGGGGGAGGTGACAATATCACACCACTCCTTGAATATCTTACATAAATTCTACTAGGGTTACCCTAATATGGAAGTGACTGGATGGTGCATAATACACACGTCTGGATTCAATAGAAAGACTGCCTCAGGAATCTCTCTGCAACATTAATATGCTTTCATTTCAAAATACAGGCTCTCTCTATTGCCTGTTCCTAGCCCCAAAGAATGTAGCCTTCAGACAACTACTTTTCATAAGTCAAGACATTTGAAGAACACATTGTCACTCATGATTAGAGATAAACGCAGGAAGCAGGTTGGGGACACAATATCACACCACTCCTTGAATATCTTAGAGATAAACACAGGAAGCAGGTTGGGGATGATGCATCTTATCATGGTGATCTAACCTGATCCCAGGCAGAGGCAGTTTGGAAGTCTTCTTGAGCAGTTAGTGGTGACCCTATCATTCCATTAGGAGGGTTGCTTATCTCGAGAGGTTTTGCCCGGTTCACTCCGAGGGTATCCTTTATGAAAGAAAAGGGAACGCATCGATTAGCAAGATGTAAATCTTTGCTTATTTTGTGAAAACAGAACATTTCAAAAAAAGCTTTCTCTTCACTGAAAATTTGTGTCATTCTGGCATGCACACGCACATACACACATGCACACAAACATGGGGGGGGGATGTTTCTGGAAGCGTTTTCCCTACAGAAGACCTTGTATTTTCCACAGAAATTTTTTTTACATTCAGCCCAAAATGCAAAGGGGTTTTTCCAAAGCAAAAAACCACATGTTTTTGTGAACGCTCTTGCCAATAGGAAAAGTACTGGTGTTTTTAATGCCATGTAGATATGAATAATATTACACTGAGATAAGGAAGAGAAAATTTGCAAGTATACATAGCATTTTGTTTAGCAGAAGAAATCTGTTACAGTTCACATAGTTGTTAGGTTTTTTTTTAATTCCCCATCCCTTAAAGCCAATCTTCTTTAAGTTAAAACACTGGGGTCAGCCTCAGGTAAGTTCAGTGTCCTTCTCTCCTCCTTCAAGTTTCTCAGCAGGTCCAAAGGAAGCTGCAGCAAATGGTGGCTATCACACACACACACCCCACTCAAGTCTCAGTAGAGCACACCCAAAACAACTCATTTTAGCAATCATACAAGTACCTATCCATCTTCCTGGCACAAAAAATGCAACAAACCTTAACAATTTTCTGCCTTTTCGTGACCATAGAGATCAAATCGCTGAGATGGGCACTCCCTTCTACCTAATGGAAAAGCTGGCAGAAATCTACTCATGCCAATGAAAAGACGAGTATTCAAATGGCACAAAGGACACATAAATTACAGCATTCTGCTGAGGCATGGAAAATAAACAGGTGTGACAGAAGGTTACACAGTGAACAAAAGAAAAAAAATATTTCTCCTCTTTCAAAGCACCCAAAGCTATGATTCATCTTGTGAAATCGTTCCAGTGAAGCTGCCTATTTGTACAAGAGCTACTATTAACCTTACAAATGGAACCTCTGTTGTTAGTGGCAGTCTATCCCTGGCAATGCAATCCTTGAGTATCGCTTTTGATTTGAATTTGGCTGAAAGCTTTCATGCTGATCTGTTACATGGGGATGGTTTTTAAGGTTTCAATATGAATTCATCTTTTTGCAAGCCACCCTGAAAATCTGCAGAAAGGTGCTGCCATCTTCACAGACACCCTTCTGCAGGTTCTCAGGGCACATGTATGAATTCATCTTTTTGCAAGCCACCCTGCGAACCTGCAAAAAGGTGAAGCCATCTTCAAAGGCACCCTTCTGCAGGTTCTCAGGGTACATGGGAGAGGGTCTTCTCCGTGGCAGCTCCCAGACTCTGGAACTCCCTCCCACAGGAGGCTAGGCTGGCCCCATCTTTGCTGTCCTTCCGCAAGCAGGCAAAGACCTTTCTCTTCAGGCAAGTGACTGGTGGCCTGAGTGGGGATTTTGTAATGGATTTTGTACCTTACTGCTTTGAATTGTGTTTTGGTGTTTCTTCCATTTTTTTCAATGTGGTATCTGTCTATGCTTTTTGTATTTGTACACTCACTGTTGTTAGCTTTAAACATTGTCTTCTAATAATGCAAGCCACCTAGGGTCCTTTTAAAGGAGAAAGGCAGAATAAGAAGATTTTAAATGAATAATAATAAATCAAATATACATCAGATACACAAAACTGAAGTCGCAGCAAACAAAAGGACCGTGGGGAAAATCTGGCTGGCTGTGTTTTGGACTTCATCCAGCATGGCAAGGGGTTATGGGATGTTTGTAGCATCTAGAGGATGCTACCTTCATCATAAGCACTCATGGATTAAAATCCATATCCTCAGACATAAAAAGGCACTTTGAAATAGAATCCTTTAGTCTTCAAAGTGCGAATACTCTTTTCTTTTTACATTTGCAATAGATGCTGAAAAAGGACATGGCTCTCTCAGCAAAACCTGTCTTATGAATATGGCTTTCCTGAGCCACTGTTTGGCGACAGAATATGGAATTCTATGGGTCTTTGACCTAATTCGGCAAAGCATCTACCTTTCTATACTGTGTGACTCTGTAATAACACATGGATAGGACCGGGGTGCTGGAGATTTACCTACAGCACTTAGTGATGGGGCCCAGTTTGGGATTTTAACTCCTAGAATCCTTCAGTCAACACAGCCACCAGGTTGAATATGGAATTATGGGACATTATAGTCCAGAAAAGCTCAGTTTATCTGGCAGAAAGAATAGAAAGTACATTTGCTCTTGCTGTTCTCCTACTGGATGCTAGACTTGGAAAGGGGTATTCCAGTATAAAATTCTGCAGTTACCTTCACAGTTTGGGTTTTTTCTTTTGAAACTTGTGCATACTCTGGAGGCGATGTTGTATCAATCTTCACATCAGGCACATCCTAAATGGAATATCAAGGAAACAGATATTTAATCAAATATCTTAATAGAAGACACCAGAAGCCCCCTTTGAACTGTTTGAAAACATGCTAAAGTTAAGAGGGTTTTTGGCAAAGTATCTGTCTTTCCCCCACTTAACGGACAGGGACTTTCAATTGCATATGGTTTTGAAAACAGACTCCCTCCTAGCTCATAAACAGTGAGGGGATGGTGATGAAATCCCTTCACTCCTAACCTATTAGAGGAAGATGTGACTTTGGACAAGGATGAGCATGTGGGAGTACCACATCTCTAGACGTTGCCAACCTCTGGCTTACACACCCCACTAAGGTGTTGTAGACCTTGAAACAGTCTTGTGTGCAAACGAGGGCACAAGCTGGCTTTTATATGCAGTGAATGTTGGTTCATGAGGCTTAATGGAGCAGCATTCCATCTTCAAATTATGCCTACTCCTGCCAGCCTCTTTGGATGGTCCAAGTCCCTACACATATGTTGAGCTCCCTGTGTGCGAATACAGCTGGGGGGGGAAAGGAGAGGGTACCAAAAGAAAAGGCAACCAGCAACAGGTGGGGATATTTCAAACATGGGGGCATGAGTGTATTTTTCTGTTCCTCAGTTGAGTTGTCAAATGAAAGAAGGGGGCCATGATACTTAGCTGAGTAAATGCTGGTCTGCCTTCAAGCCCCTGGGCCTACCTAGAGTCACAGAGTTGGAAGAGACCACTGAGGCCATCCAGTCCAACCCCCCGCCATGTGGGTACATCCATCAAAGCATTCCCGACAGATGGCCATCCAGCCTCTGCTTAGAAACCTCCAAAGAAGGAGACTCCACCCCCCTTCGAGGAAGCCTATTCTATTGCCAGAAAGCTCTGACCGTCAGGAAGTTCTTCCTAATGTTCAGATGGAATCTCTTTTCCTGTAGTTTGAACCCATTGCTCCGTGTCCTAGTCTCTGGAGCCCTGGAAAACAAACCTGTCCCCTTTTCAACATGACATCCTTTCAAATATTTAAACATGGATATCATGTCCCCTGTCAACCTTCTTTTTGCAAGGTTAAACATTCCCAACTCCCTAAGCCGCTCTACATAGCACATGGCTTCCAGACCTTTAACCATTTTGGTCGCCCTCCTCTGGACACGTTCCAGGTTGTCAACATCCTTTTTGAATTGAGGTGCCCAGAACTGGACACAATACTCCAGGTGAGGTCTGACCAAAGCAGAATAGAGTGGAACTATCACTTCCCTTGATTTAGACACAATAAAGTCATGCCCCACTTAACGATTGCCCCACATTACAACGAATCCGCTTTATGACGATGGTTTTGCGATTGCAAAATGATGTTTTAAATGGGGTTTTCTCACTTTACGAATATCGGTTCCCTGCTTCGCGAACTGATTCTTTGCATTACAACAATCAAAACAGTTGATTGTCATGATTTCAAAATGGCTGCTGGGTGCTCAAAATGGCTCCCCACTGTGTTTAGCGACGGATTCCTCGCTATACAGGCACCGAAAATGGCCACCGTATGGAGGATCTTCACTGGACAATGAGTTTTTAGCCCATTGGAATGCATTAACCGGGTTTTAATGCGTTTTAATGGGTTTTTTATTTTCGCTTTACGACGTTTTCGCTCTACAGTGATTTCACTGGAACGACTTAATGTCGTTAAGCTAGGTCCCACTGTACTCTTCTCACTGCAATCAACAATAGCATTGGCTTTCTTGGCAGCCACATCACACTGCTAACTCTTGTTCAGCGTGTGGTCCACCAAGACTCCTAGATCCCTTTCACAGTGATCTAGCCAGGTGTCTTCCATCCTATATCTGTGCAGTTCATTTTTTCTGCCTAGGTGTAGGACCTTACATTCCTCCCTATTGACATTTTTTTGTTAGTTTTGGCCCAGGACTCTAATCTGTCAAGGTCATTTTGAATTTGAATCCTGTCCTCTGGGGAATGAGCAACCCCTGCCAATTTGGTATCATCTGTAAATTTAATCAACATCCTCTCTATTCCTATCGCAAATTTAATCAACATACTCTCTATTCCTATAACCCTTGACATTACCTAGCACAGCCTGTTCCACTCACCAGCCAAACGTGTCCAACATTTCCTCATTCAAAGGATGCCGCTGAGGCTAGAGCTGCCTAGGCACTATTATCTGGGAAGTTAAGTTCCACGGAGCACAGCAAGATTTCTTTCTATGTAGACATGCATAGGATTGGTTTCTAAACTCCAGAGTTCTGCCTCTTCATGGGGAGTGAGTAATGGTATTACTTCTCACCTGCGACAAAACATGCTTGCTCTCCTCGTTGTACTGGATCAGAGACTGATTTCCTGTTTCAAATGGGATGAAAGGGTGGCCTTTCTCTGTTTTTGAAGCAACGGAACACCATAGCAGAAGAGCCAGACCCACTAAACAAGAAAGAAGAAAAGATGTTACCTTTACTTTAAAACCTGTGCAAAAGATATTTTCCTTTACAGCAGTAGTCCCCAAACTTGGGCGTCCAGATGTTCTTGGACTTCAACTCCCTGAAATCCTGGCCAGTGGAGGTGGTGGTGAAGGCTTCTGGGAGTTGTAGTCCAAGAACATCTGGAGGCCCAAGGTTGGGGACCACTGCTTTACAACACCAGCTGAATCTCGACACAGAAGGGATGCATCCAGGTGCAGCTTCTGTTAAAACCTCACCCTGCTCCATTCACAGAATCTGACAGGGACTCTTGCCCTCATCCATTGACAGGTAGGAAATGTAAAACAGCTTCCCAGGTATTTTCCTTCACCTTACAGATTTTGAATTCTTCAATAAAATATTTAGCATGTCTCTTTTTGGGAGAATCAAAGAATCGTGAAGTTGGAAGGGGGCTATAAAGCTATCAAGTCCAACACCTTGCTCAATGCAGGAATACAAATCAAAAGATATCTGCCAGGTGGTTGTCTAGATTTCTCTTGAATGCCTCCAGTGTTGGAGCACTCACCACCTCTTGGGATAATTGGTTCCACTGTCGTAGTGCTCTAAGTACTGCAAGACGAATCATCAGCTTGTCTTTCTTATCCAGTTAACTGTCCTCAGATACTGTATATACCAAATTATATATCGGAACAACCAGCTGGCTCAATTAGCCATTTACTTCCTTTGGACCTTTGCTAGCCAACTACATATATTTGTTTGCAATAATTTCACTTTGCTGTCTGAATACATAAACTATCAGGTTCTTACACACTCCTGTGATTCGGCTGAATTAAATCATTTCATTTGCTTATGATTATACTTTTGTGTTAGGGTTTTAGATCCATACTCTTTGTTTTTGTTTTCTTCCATTTAATTCAGGCAGGCCTCCCTGAAGAGGAATTTCCATAATTAGGGTTGCTGTTTAGTCGTTAAGTCGTGTCCAACTCCTAGTGACCCCATGGACCACAGTACGCGAAGACCTCCTGTCTTCCACTCCCTCCCGGATTTGGGTCACATTCATGTTCATAGCTTTGATGACACTGTCCAGCCATCTCGTCCTCTGTCGTCCCCTTCTCCTCTTGCCTTCACACTTTCACAACATCAGGATCTTTTCCAGGGAGTCTTCTCTTTTCATGAGATGGCCAAAGTATTGGAGCCTCAGCTTCAGGATCTGTCCTTCCAGTGAGCACTCAGGGTTGATTTCCTTCAGAATGGATAGGTTTGTTCTCCTTGCAATCTAGGGGACTCTCAAGAGTCTCCTCCAGCACCACAATTCAAAATCATATAATTAGGGTTACCATGACTAAAAAGGCCCTGTCAAATGTGTTTACCTGCTGAAGGAGGCAGAGAGGGTGGAAAAATATAGAACAGGCTCCCAAATGTTGTTTTTGAGTATAAAGGGTAACACATACAAAACAAGGTGGTCTTACAGGCCTCCCAAAAATCTCACTACTCACATATCAATAAGAGGAACGCAGCCACGATCACCCCAATAGCTCCTCCTCCAAGGCTAACAGACGCAGAGGCCAGTCCAGACTTCTCTTCGCATATGCCGTCCTGACAGGAGCACACCCTGACATGCAGGTTCTGCTCCTTGAAAAAACCCTGCTTGTCTGAAATATGGAGAGGCAGGGAATAATTGCCGGGTGGCAGGCTTTCCAACATGAAGAGCTCCACTGAATCATCTAAAAAGAGAGAAAACAGATAAAACCTTACCCAGCTGTTACTTCTGTCTTCTTGCTAATGCTAACATCATGCCAACAATGCAAATAAAGACAAGCAGCTTGGTACCAGATAAAAGCCATTTTTAGATTCTTAATGGAACATCTACTGTATTTTGAGATCAGATTATACAGGAGCATTAAGGAAAACCTGAGCTCTCTAGAGAGACTCCCTGACGAAGTGAATACTGCGAATCATCACGAGTTCGCATTCAAAGGATTATTCCTTCTGCCATCCCTGCCACAGCAACATCCCTGCCATTTTGGAGACAGTAAGAGTTCCTATGTAGTGCTCTCTTGTTGCCAGATCACAACATGAGGCCAGATCACAACACAATCACAACATGGGACTAGGTGATGTATGGTTTCTCCTGATCCTTCTCCTAGAATCCAAATGTGCAGTGCTGAGACGTAAGGAGACGAACCAACAGAAGCACGTGGGATAGAGAAGATAACCTGGAATTTTGTATGCCTTGATTCCTAATTCAGAAAAAGAAAGAGAAAAGTGGGCACAGAGTGAGCCCCATGGATTTCATACCTGTGTTACCTGGAAAACATGTCTTGAATTGGAATACGTGGGGGCAACTCACAGGTAACACAAAGAATCTCTTTATTCAGACATGTACACCTGAGATTCTTTGTATAAACCTTTCAACAACTGCTGTACGATAGAAGGCTGGCATCCTTCTCTCTCTCCTTTTGGCCCACATCTCTCCTCGTTGACTTTTCTCCTCTTTTTATCTTCCTGTCCTTCTAGAGCAGATTTGCCAACTATGGCCCTCCAGGAGTTTTTCGACTGAAACTCCCACACTAGTGGCTACACTGGCTAGAGCTAAAGGAAAAATGACCAAATGCATCTGGAAGGTCACCATGGACTTCTCTTGGGTTAGGAAAAGGGGGGAAGAGATGCCATGGGCTTCAGGCAGAGAGCCACCCCTCCCTCCCCTTGTCTATTCTATGTATCTCTGGTATTAGTGCCCCTTGCCAGTTACCATCATCTTCCTCACCTTCCTCCAAAGCCCACATCCTTCCTACCCATTCATGTGTTTCGCATCTTGAGGCCTACATCTAACCTCCAGAGGCAACCCCTCATCTTATTGACTCCACCTCTTTCCACATCTCTCCAAAGTCCATCTTTCGCCAGATAGAATGCTTTCAATGGTTTTAAGCTGGCATCCCTATGCATTTATTTATTTCAAACACTTCTATGCCATCTGACTTGTTTATTTATTGTACCCACATCCCACCCATCTAGTGGTGATCCATTACTAAAAAAAACATTCAGCCCAAAATAAAATATGAGAGTAAAAGAACAAACATCAACTCATAAAATAACATAGCAAACCCCCACTGATGGCAACAGCAAATCAATTAAAAATTATATAAAATAGGTTGGAACATTTCTCAGGAGGGGAGGATAGACCTGAACAACTATCTGAAAAGTGGTTTTCATTTGCTTTCTTAAGGACAGGAGGGAGAGAGCTTGGCGCACATCTGCAGGCAGAGAATTCCATAATGTTAGAGCCACCATTGAGAAGACCAAGTTCCTGGTGGATGTTTTCCGGACGTCCTTTTGGGTGGCCAACCACAAAAACACAGCCGGAGATGGTGCACATCTGCAGGCAGTGAATTCCATAATGTTACAGCCACAACTGAGAAGACCCAGTTCCTGGTGGATATTTTCCGGACCTCCTTATGGGGTGGCCAACCACAAAAATACAGCCGGAGATCATTGGGTGGCTCAGGTAGTAGATCTTAGGAAGAGATGCTCTGACAAGTACAGAGATCCCAAACTATTCAGGGCTTTATAAATTAGACTTAGGACTTCTTTGAATTTGGCATGACTTAGTGACATGCATTACTCTGGATGGTGAACAATAAATGCAACCAACCCCCCATCAACAAAATAAACTTACTAACGAAAAATTAAGAAATTAAATCCAACAAGTATCCCCAAAATGCTAGTGATGGTGCTACAAGTAAGTAAACCCAAATCCCGCTCCAACCTCAAGGAAGCATGTCACTGAATGCTTCCTTAAAAAGCTCTCTCTTCAGCATCCTCAAGGAAGCATGTCACTGAATGCTTCCTTAAAAAGCTCTGTCTTCAGCATCCTCTTAAACATAGGCAGGGAATTGGCAAGATAGACATCAGTTCGTAACCCAAGGTTAAGAACCAGTGCTCTTAAAGATAGGCAGGGAATCGGCAAGATAGACATCAGTTTTCATGCTCAATTTTATTAAGGAATTAGCCATTTTATCATATTAATATCTAGGCCAAAATCTAAATCACAGTGTCACCGAACCATTAATGTGACAAGCATGATTCACACCATGTGCAAATCTATACTCAAGGGTTTCCTCAATCCTATAGAACAGGTTTTGAGGGCACACATGCGCTGCAGGAGGAAGGAAGATCAACTTTATCCAGTTCTGTTCACAGAACCTCACAAAGGGCCCTGACGTTAATGTTCATTTCTTCTGCTGGGGCTGTGCTAATTAGGAATCATAGCAATGGCGGTCCATCACACCTACAGAGAGGTAAATTGGGGGAGCCTGGCCTATACTTTAGAGCAGGGATGGGAACATACAGTTTCTCAAATGTTCTTAGATTACAGCTTTAATTCTTCCCCATCACTGGCTAGTCTAAGGATCATAAAGGCTGCACCCAGATATTTTTATTGAAGAGTTCTAAAAGTTAGTTTTCAGTTCAACAGCCCTAAATCCAATTGCAAACAGAACAGCCTCACTGAATCACTGGTCTAAGTCTAAATAAAGTAAAAAGTAAAAGGTTAAATGGTAACCCAACACTGTTTGAAACCCCATAGATTCAACAGGAAAGTTGTCTCACAGGAGGTAAGACTGCCCCCCACTCCAGCTAGCCCTGTATTGTCAATACCGATGGAAAGCATATATCCAGGATTTCACACCTGATCCCTTCTCAGCCTTTAGACATATTGAAAATTGAATCTGGGACCTTCTACATGGAAAGCATGTGATATACCAATGAGCTACAGCTGTATTCAATATACTACACCTAGCATTTCCTGACGGTCTCCTGCATGAGTACAGATCAGGCCTGATGCTGCTTCGCTCCCAAGGCCAAATGAGAACAGGCCAGGTTATGGTGGCTAAAGAAGACCACATTGTTCAGTGACCAAATAAAAAGGTAACCAGGTTAGAGGGAACTTACCAAAATTTGTTCCCAGTTTCCAAAAATTCTGCACATTCCCTGAGTTCTCTGGTATCTGGAATGTAAAGGGTCCTGCATAAGGATGAGAATCTTTGTCCTCTGCTTCTACAAGGAAAGGGCCCATGTCTCCATCACAGACTAACAAAGGCGGGGTAACCAAAGCTGGAGCATTGTCATTAAGATCATTCAGGTAAATGTGAATGGTGCCTGTACCAGTTAGTGGTGGAACACCTAGAAAGGAAACACAGCAGTGTGATTCTTTTTTAAAAAATGAACCTACAATTAACCATGAACTATGTTACTGGCAGAAAACAACGATTTGAAGCCACTTCAAGGGAAAGTGAAAAATGAAAGTGTCCAAGCAGGATTACAGTTGAACATTAAGACAAAAATCATGACTGTAGAACTGCATAACTTTAATGTTGACAATGAAGAAACTGAAATAGAAATATTCTAATATACCATGATTTAATCATTAATCTAAATGGAGACTGCAGTCAAGAAAGCAGATATTTGAGACTCAGAAGGGCAACAATGAAGGAACTCGAAAAGATAATCAAGTGTAAGGACGTTTCACTGGAGACCAAGATCATCCACAATGTTGTATTTCCAATCTCCACAAATAGGTGTGAAAGCTGAACAGTTAAGAAAGTTGACAAGGAAAAAAATGGATTCATTTGAAATGTGCTGCAGAGAGGAGAGATCTGCAGATACCTTCGACCACCAAAGGCTGAACAGTTAAGAAAGTTGACAGGGAAAACATGGATTCATTTGAAATGTGCTGCTGAGAGGAGAGACCTGCAGATACCTTGGATCACCAAAAAGATGAACAAGTGGGTCCTAAATCAAATCAAGCCTGAACTCTCTCTGGAGGCAAAAATGCTAAAACTGAGGCTGTCCTACTTTGGGCACATCATGAGAAGACAGGATTCTCTGGAAAAAGACAATAAACCTAGGAAAGTTTGAAAGGCAGCAAGAAAAGAGGAAGACCAAATATGAGACAGTTTGACTCCTTAAAGGAAGCCACAGAGTTGAGTGTACAAAAGCTGAGCAAGTCTGTTGAGAACAGGATATTTTGGAGATCACTCATTCATAGGGTCACCCTAAGGGTGACAACTTGACAGCATATAACAAAACAACAAAGCACTGCCTCAGCCGGAAGGAACTTTCAAGATAAAAGATGAATTTCAGCCATCCGCTTAAATGATCTGACATCCTCAGCTAACTCTTACCACACCGTTCACCTCTGGAGGTAAAACCTTCGGTAAACTTTAGGTCATCATATATCATTCAAGTTCCACCTGTTTTGCAAGGTCTTGAGGGACAAAGAGACCGTAAGTCACAGTTCACCTCCGGGGTCAGGATGATGTTTATAACTGGGATGAGTTTTTAAGGCAGCTTTTCAACATATTTTTGGACAGGGTGAGGTAATTATTTTTTTTTTGCTTCTTCTTTCCTTACATGGCCACCAAGGTGTTTAAAATCACGCAAGAACACTATATCTCAGGTGGTCTCAATGTGTTCACAGTATCCACAGTATGTGGTCCATTAACCAGAACGTGGCACATTATCCACATACGGGAGAGCTGTTTGCTGCTTGACATCTATGAGAAGAAGCAGCAAAACTTGTAGCCTGTCTTCTTGAACAATGCAGAAAAAAGGAGAGAACACTGTTGCTGAAGATATGCAGTATAGATGGTAAAATAAATAAGAAAACAGCAAGCAAAACCTTGTTTAAGATATGAAAAGGGATAATTCTGATGTGGTATTAGATTTGGATTGGGGTGAAATGCTATGAGAAGAACTTTCTCCATAGCTGACAAACACACACACACAAGGGGGGGGAGACACACACAGATAGACAAACACAGGATAGTTTGCCACTGCTATCCGAGTAGAAACTCACCATCATCAATGGCATGAACCACAACGGTATAGATGTTGTTGTTTGTATGAGGAGATTCTCTATCAAGTGTTTTTGCCGTCAACACTGTCCCAGAGTTTTCGTCAATAGTCACCCAGCCATCAGGGTCAGAAGCTATTTTATATCTTGAAAAAGATATTAGAAGCTTTAAGTACAATTGATAAAAAACATTACAAGCCATTAAGCTCAGGGTTTGCTTCCCAATCCCCAACAGGACTAGAAACTGAGTATCTAGCAGCTGAGCTAGTTCTCCAGAGAGGTAGCAGATAAAACCTGACACCAAATTAGCTTACAAAACAATCACAGAATATCTTGGGGCTCAGCCAACATGTGTACCAAAGGCTGGCTAAGAACAGCTGGCTTCGCACCCAGCTCTCTTGTTTTGGGGGATCAGAAACAAACAAACTTCTACACAAACATTGCCGTGCGAAGGCAAACTCTCTCCTTATGATGTAACATGGCATTATTATTATACAGAGCCTTGCGGTATAGTGATTAAACTGCAGCCAAAATTGTGCTCACGACCCAAGGTTCAATCCCAGGTAGCAAGCTCAAGGCTCACTCAGCCTTCCATCCTTCTGAGGTCGGTAAAATGAGTACCCAGCTCACGGGGGAGGGGAGGCAATGTGTACCCTGCATAATTAACTTGTAAACCGCCCAGACTGTGTTTTAAGCACTATGGAGTGGTATATCAGCAGCATGCTTTGCTTGCTTTTGTAGTTTAATTATTTAATTGTTTTCAATGTATAATTTACTGTCTTTTTAATTTCACTTTTTGAACGCTGTGAGGCACCTTGAGTCTCCTTATCAGGAGAAAGGCAGCCTGTTTAATAAGTAAAGAAGTAAACAGAATAGAATAGGATAGAATAGAATTTGAACTTAGGGGCATGCAACATGTGTGCCAAGGTAACCAAGTCAATCTGGGGCCAATTTCTTCCCTCAGCTGGCACACACCAGGAACCACAGCCCTCACCACCCCAGTCTGGCAGCACAGCATCAGAAAATCTTAACTCTTTTTTTTCTACTTTAACACAGCATGCAGAAGGGATTGCACCAGGTTTTAGAGGAGCTGAGTTTCATGAGACTCATGTTCCTGGATATGCCAATCTTTGAAGCATGATGTGGATGACCCACAATTAAGATCAAAGGGATCTATGCAGTCTGTCAGCATTGCATTGTCCATCCTACTCCAACAAAACAGAGCTCATTATCATAAACCAGAGACTGGAAAAAGGATTTCACACCAAAGTGCAGCATTTCCAGTTAAAAAAAAAACAGTAAGACAAAACAAGAGGACCAGCATGATCTTATGCTCAGATCTAGTCCTGAAAAGCCTCCAAGGTGGTTGGTTCCTAAAAGACAGGCATGCTGGATAGAGAGGTTCTGTGGATATATCATTCGTAATTTATTTCAACTTCTATTAAATTCCTTTCCCTTTTTAATGAGTCAGAACATGCTCTTTGTCATCAAAAGTAAAACTAGAGTTTGACAAGACTCTGAAAATATTGCCAAAACAATCTAGTGATCTGTGAAGTTCTTGCTGAGGTAGAATCTGAAGCAGAATCTTTATAAGAATTAATATAAATAAAAAAAAAATTCACAGGAAAATCACTAGCTCTTAACCACATACCTTACAACGTGGCGAGATGTGTCTGGATCTTTAGCTATATATTGTCCGATCCTGACCCCCGGTTTGACCCCCTCCTCTTGCTGAAGAACAAGGACTGAAGGATTAAACTGGGGGGCATCGTTTTTGTCAATCACATTAATGTTCACCCGTGCCTTGGAGGCTGCGGGAGGAGGAGCAGTCTTTGCCAAACCTCCTTCACAAAGGAAAAAATCCTCTTCATTCTCCACCGAAATCACAAGGTTCTTCCCAGGGAGGCCATCATAGATCAAAGGCTGGGGGGGAGAGAGAAAACAACAGCAACAACAGAACTTCCATTATTACATTCTGGTGAGCTATGGCCATTTCCTCCAAATCTATTTTACTGTAACTCTTACAGTCCTCTGCTAGCAGGGCTAAGGGGAGGTGGTGATTAGGAATGACTCCATCACACCTAGAGAGCATGGGGCAGGGGAAGGCTTGCCTATAGTACAGAACAAGGATGGGAAGCAGCGATGGGCACGGACTGCCAGTTCTGCGATTTGTGCCAGTTCATTCTTCAGCTGAACAGGTTTCAGAGCTTACCAGCCCCAACACCTCTGGCGTGTACTCACTCAGAGGCAGCAGCCCAGATTCTCTGTCCCACTCTTCCGATGCTGCTCTGAGTTGGGCATCCATTGCTACAAAGTACCAAACACCGGTTCAGCCAAAGAAATAACCTTCCCATCTCTAACGGGAAGCACACTGTTCTTCAAATGCTATGAGATGGCAGCTCTAACAGAGCCTCGTAGCGCAGTGGTTAAACTGCTGTACTGCAGCCAAAACTGTGCTCACAACCTGGGGTTCAATCCCAGGTAGCGGTTAAAGCTTGACTCAGCCTTCTATCCTTCCGAGGTCGGTAAAATGAGTACCCAGCTCTCTGGCAGGGGAGGCAATGTATAGCCTGCATAATTAACTTGTAAACTGCCCAGAGAGCACTTGAAGCACTATGGGGCGGTATATAAGCAGCACACTTTGCTTTTTGCTTTGCTTCTAATCCTTCCTCAACATGGCCAGTCTAAGGACCCCGGTATTTTTTACTAAACCCAGTTGCTAGTCACAACCAGATCAGATTGACTGAAACATTTCTTAAATGGTAAGCTAGCACTGTTCCAAATCTCATTGATTCAATAGGTCTAACCCTACTTGGGACAGCAATAGGATTTTGGCCATAAACCATAGTCCAGAAGTCATACCAGGTGCATAACATTCCACTGCACACACAATGGGCTTGCACATGGAGATACCCAGACCCTTCTTGCACAAGCATAAGTCACTGTGAATCCAAGCAGGGTGGCCTTCAGCTTGTGCCATGGAGATCACAGGAGCTCCATAGCTGGAGCTTTTTGCTCTGCCTGTAATGAACAGGATCTTTAAATCTCATTTATTTGTAGCTTAACCTTATCACTTGTTGCATTCTATCGACATTGGACCTGAGCTACCTTGTGTCCTGGTTTTGGGAGAAAGGTGGGGAAGAAATAATTGCAAGAACAAACAAACAAACATCTAAAGAGCCAACCATTCTCCACCAAAGCCACAGAATAATTCTCAAAATGCCCCCTTAAATGACATTACCTTTACAATGCTTAGCACCCCTTCGTTGCTCTTAGGGTCTGTCTCAATGAAGAAGTTCCCATTTTCATTTCCTTTCACGATCCTATACTTGGCTATCCAGGCAGTTGTGTTGGGGGAATCTTTATCTTCCACAGGGAGGCGTAAGATATCGTGTTCTGTTTTGCCTTCTGGAACATCCAGGTGGTACTTGAAAATAGAAAAAGGGGCATCTAGATACATCAACAACAGTTCCCATCCTTTCTGACACATTGTCCAATAACCAAGACATGAGTGTCCTCATGAGATACTCAGACACAAGAGGTGTAGACTTGAAAGGCTAAGACCGCTGGGGTGGGGGTGGGAAAGGAACAGGCTTAGCCCTCTGATAGCGCTCCCATTATGGTGGAT